ACCTTATGTGATTCCACAGTAGCCCTGTCCTGTGGGCAAGTGTTTTTTTTTTATTTAATTTTTTTAATGTTTATTTACTATTGAGAGAGAGACAGAGCGTGAGTGGGGGAGGGGCAGAGAGAGAAGGAAACAGAATAGGAAGCAGGCTCCAGGCTGTCAGCACAGAGCCCAACATGGGGCCTAAACTCACAGCTGTGAGTGAGATCATGACCCGAAATGAAGTTGGACACTTTACCGACTGAGCCATTCAGGTGCTGCAAGGTAAGTGTTTTTATACTTGGAAAATTGGAGGCTCACCAGGGTCAAATGGCCACAGCAGTGAGCAGAAGAGCAAGTCCCAAAAGTCAGGTCTGTGACACTTAGTCATTCTACTACAGATGGACTCCACCTGAAATCATGTTTCACTCTCAGCAACACGTCTGAATAATTTGCACTTGGTCATGAGAGGATGTCCAATTTCTATCCTTTCTTTAATCTCAATTTATTTCCCATATAAGGCTTATTTTTGTAGGCCTTGGTCCAAAACTTTCACAATGATAAATTAGAAGGAAACAAAGCTCTGCCTTCAGGCGAATATTTTATTTTCTGCCCAGTTCATATGGTGATCAAGTATGTATCTAAAAATTAGGTTGATACGAGCACCTGTTGGCTCCGTTGGTTGAGTGTCTGACTCCCGATTTTGGCTCAGATCATGATTTCACGGTTCACGGGATTGAGCCCTGTGTCAGTCTGTGCTTGGGATTCTCTTTCTCCCTCTCTCTCTGTCCCTCTCCTGATCACGGGTGCGTGTGCTCGCTCTCCCTCAAAATAAATAAACATTAAAAAAATTTAGGTTGATAATTATACACTTTAACTTTGAACATTTCCGCTTTTTCTAAGAACCATACTATGCAAACAAGTTTTGCAAAGGTTTTCTGCTACTATTAAGAAATAATAACCAAAAAGCATAAACTTGTCAACTGTTTTAAAAATGTTTTCAGTCTATTTCTTTAAAGAGGAATATGCTTTTAAGGTCAATAAAAACTTTGAGTCCAGAACAACTGCATCACAAGATTAGAAAAGTCTCATGAAAAAGTTGAGTAGAAATAATTTGAAAGGAAGAGAGAAAAATAAACAGAATGTTTAAGCTAAAAATTCTCAGTCTCAAAGTGGGCTGAGTCTGTCTTCAAACAAATACCAAGTGGGAAGAGTTGTCCTCACTACCTACATTATACAATTGTTAGCAATTTGCAATATTTGCTTTATCACACATCTATCTATCCATCAATTCATGTCGTTTCATTCATTTCTTTTTTTAAAGTTTTATTTACTTTAATAAAGGGGTGCCACCCAGGTGCCCCTTCATTCATTTCAAAACGAGTGCCAGAGTGCACATCATCACTACACTGCACCCCTAAACACTTCAGCATAGATTTTAACACTTCTCTCTCACAGGTAAAATTTACAAAGTGAAATATACAAATCTTAAGTGTACTGTTCAATGAGTTTTGATAAATGTATATACTGCATACATCTGATAACTGCATACACACATGCATGCAAGTTAGTTCGGTAACAAAATATTTGTATGTGTATATTTAAAAAATTATATGTATAGCTATAAAATCCAGTGTCACTGAGCAAATTAACCATCTGAACCTAGTCTAGCTTTTTCTGGAGTTACCAATTACCTCTCTCCTATTGTATTAGCAATCCCATTTATACAACACTGAATTCACCACACACACTCATTCATATCACCTACTCAATCAAAGCCCTTACCTGTAAGCACAAGAGCATTTTTTAAAAATCTGCTTACTAAAGTATAATTTATTAAGTTCAAATTCACTAATATAAGTGTCTATTTCATCTTTCCAAAACAGTTCCCTCTTGTCCCTTTGCAGTCAAAAGCTAGCTTCCCCTTATCCCCTGGACAACAGCTTTTATTCCCACTGTACAAAGCACATTCTGGTTATCAATCAAGTTATAAGCAATAGTGAATCCTGTAATAGAAATTGTATTTTGGACTTAAGCATTTGAACTATATGCAATTCAAGCTATGAAAACTTACACATGGTGATAAATCCTTTAGATTCTTTATGTGTATAGGGCAGATGCCTCAAAATTTAGTATTAGTTAAAAAGAAGGACACCCTGTAAATGGATTCTGTCGGAGCACAAATGCTATAATTCTAATGCCATTATGCTTGTTAAAATAGTCTGTTTTCAAATGGCACCATTGTTAGGCACAGATTTGTCAAAGCACTTTATTTATTTTTTTTT